TTGGAAGTTGTATTAGTTCTGATTGTAGTGTGACAGATGAGGTGAATGCACGAATCTGCAAGGCTCGGGCCGCGTTTGCTAACTTTAGACACCTATGGCGTCAGAATGGTTTATCCCTGAATCTGAAGGGACGTGTTTATCAAGCTACAGTACGGGCTGTTTTGTTGTATGGGTGTGAGACTTGGCCTGTTCGAGCAGCGGAACTGAGACGTCTTCAGGTGTTCGACAATCGTTGTCTCAGAACCATAGCTCGTGTGGGTTGGTGTCGGCGAATCCGTAACGAGGACACTACAAGATATGGCTGCCAACCGATGTCAGTGGCGTTCGTGTTGTCAGTTTCTGTCCAGATTGCCTGAGTGAATGTCTGGAGGTGTAGGCACCTCGGAATGATTGTGTCAAGCTAGCACTAAGTTCCTCCCCCATCCACCTTTATTCTTTTCTCTACAATAGGGCTTTCAAATAAGTCATGGCTGTACGGCAGTGAAGCATTGGTGTTGAGCACTGATGTCATGCTGTCGTTGATGATGATGATGATGATGAGCGTAGGCCTTGCTCACCTATCGTAGACCGCTGATACAGTGGCAGACATGAAATGTACCTGATACCTACTTTTACTTTAAAGTCATTTGTATTATTCCTCCACTATGTTCGGGAAAACCGTTCACTGCGATCCGTAAGTTGCCCATAAATATTCACGTGGTCATCCGTGTTCACGCCATGTGGCCGAAAATGAGAACTCTGCAGTTTGGTAGAACGCTAAGCGCCCATTGAGCAATAGCAATGTATCTTTGACTTTAAATTTTAGGCTTTTGCTCGAATAGTTTAGAATTCCTCTATCATCCTCCTCCTCCTCATCATCATCATCGATAGCATAACATCGGTGTTCAACACCGGTGCTTCACTGACGTAGAACCATGATTTATTTGAAAGCTTATTGTGAAAAAAAGAATAAAGGTGGACGGGGAAGGGACTTAGTGTTAGCTTACTACGATCATTCCGGGGTGCCTACACCTTCAGACACTCATTCAGGCAATCTGCAAAGAAACTGACAAGAACGTTAATTACATCGGTGAGCAGTCATGTCTTGCAGCGTCTCCAACCAGGCGCAGTGGGGATCACGCGATCCTCATCCTGGAAGGTGAGTATCATCGACACCACCTGTTCTTTACGCGTGATCTCTTTCATACCCCCCTGCCAGGTCAAAGGTTGTTCACATCTCTGCTTCCGCCACTCTGAATTGGGCACGGAAGACAGCAGTCTCTTCGGCAAACATGGTTCGTCATGCGATCGGTTAAACTACATTCGGTAACTCAGTTCATTCAGAATTACTATGTGAATATTAGAACCCGCAGTTTCCTACCGTTTTGACCTTTAATCGGGGCTTCTGAAAGTCGCGGAATCTAGATAAATGTAAGTGGTCTCTCTAGAGACAGGAAACCCTATAGACACCCGGTGAGGGCTACTTTCTAGCACGTCTCGTCAGAATAGTCTTCCTATCTGCCGCATGGCACTCGTATGGGATCAAGTGTGCCAAGATACATGAAACTGGGTTCTCGAAGAATTGGATTTCTGAAGCACAGAATGAGTTAGGACCACTACGGTGATTCAGATCAACAGGTTCAAGGATTTTGACTGAAACAGAAAAGAAGATGCAATGACCCGATGAAGACCATCAAGATAATCGAAATACAGCACCCCTTTCCAGAATCGGTGCCTATCTCACTAAAGGGACAACTTTTCCCGGTCTCACGATTGTCTTTATAGGATAGCAAGCAACCAGAAAGTCTATCAGTCATGTCGTTCTTTTGACCGATCTGAAGAGAACAATGAGGACACCATTGTTGCGGGACCCTATCGAAACGTACGCTGTGAATAACTGCACTATGCGTAAGGCATAATAAAACGTAGAACCATGATTTATTTGAAAGCTTATTGTGAAAAAAAGAATAAAGGTGGACGGGGAAGGGACTTAGTGTTAGCTTACTACGATCATTCCGGGGTGCCTACACCTTCAGACACTCATTCAGGCAATCTGCAAAGAAACTGACAAGAACGTTAATTACATCGGTGAGCAGTCATGTCTTGCAGCGTCTCCAACCAGGCGCAGTGGGGATCACGCGATCCTCATCCTGGAAGGTGAGTATCATCGACACCACCTGTTCTTTACGCGTGATCTCTTTCATACCCCCCTGCCAGGTCAAAGGTTGTTCACATCTCTGCTTCCGCCACTCTGAATTGGGCACGGAAGACAGCAGTCTCTTCGGCAAACATGGTTCGTCATGCGATCGGTTAAACTACATTCGGTAACTCAGTTCATTCAGAATTACTATGTGAATATTAGAACCCGCAGTTTCCTACCGTTTTGACCTTTAATCGGGGCTTCTGAAAGTCGCGGAATCTAGATAAATGTAAGTGGTCTCTCTAGAGACAGGAAACCCTATAGACACCCGGTGAGGGCTACTTTCTAGCACGTCTCGTCAGAATAGTCTTCCTATCTGCCGCATGGCACTCGTATGGGATCAAGTGTGCCAAGATACATGAAACTGGGTTCTCGAAGAATTGGATTTCTGAAGCACAGAATGAGTTAGGACCACTACGGTGATTCAGATCAACAGGTTCAAGGATTTTGACTGAAACAGAAAAGAAGATGCAATGACCCGATGAAGACCATCAAGATAATCGAAATACAGCACCCCTTTCCAGAATCGGTGCCTATCTCACTAAAGGGACAACTTTTCCCGGTCTCACGATTGTCTTTATAGGATAGCAAGCAACCAGAAAGTCTATCAGTCATGTCGTTCTTTTGACCGATCTGAAGAGAACAATGAGGACACCATTGTTGCGGGACCCTATCGAAACGTACGCTGTGAATAACTGCACTATGCGTAAGGCATAATAAAAACGAAAATAAAATTACGAAGTTCATGATCACTTGAGTGGGGCCCTATCTAACTTCTCATCGATCGACAGAACCGCTTCAAGGCTATTGACCATCAGAGCCTTGTCAAACTTTGGTCTGCGTGGCCTGTCACATCTCGTAACCACCCTTCTAAAGGTGAAACCAATTGAATTTTTTCAATCAAATGTCACGTGACCGAGGGCGTCGAGTTTCGACTGATTTCATTTGAAGTAAAATTTGTGTCACTGATCAGGCTTGAAATGCGCTTTCAGGAATGTTTCTTTGCTTACGTCAGTGTGTGTACTCACGCTCACGTATGCACATACGCACCACCACACCACTAAGCAGTGTTGTCACCTTGATTGATGACGAAAATTTGCAACAAAATTGCCAAGCTTAGCGAACAGTTCAAACAAACACAAGCAGTTCCAGTGCATTATAAACGAGAGATTCAGCTTGGTTCCAGGCGAGTCTCCCGCAAAACCAAATTGGTTTGCAAATGAGTGTATTTTGCTAAGTTCAAACACCAATTCAACCCTGTAACGCAAAGTGCGAACGAGCAGTCTTTTGTGCTGTGCATGAAGAAGCTTTCTGGGTTGGACAAACCATGACTCGCCTCGTCATGGTTTCTTCTGATTGTCAACTTCATATTTTTAACTGAAGGGAGTTCAATGGTTTAAAAATCGAAAGCAAACTTTCAGTCCGAAGTCGACCAGTTTCCAACAGTGAAATTTCGAAGCGTCTCTCGTATAGTGCGACCTGATGAATTTCAATGCAGACGGCCTGTTTAAGCTTCTGCCTAATATTGTCGATCTAGGGGATCTCCTCAAGGCTACTGCGTTGGCCTGTGTGTAGCCGGTATTTTGGAGAAGAAAATGATGATGACGAACTCACCTACATGTCGAGATTGCTGAAGCTACAGGCTCCATGCATTCAATGCCATATTAGACATTCTTTCCTAGCACGGTTATGGAAGTGCCCAACGCATATTCGATGTGACTGGTATGGGAGGAGTATCAGAATCCACAGACAACTTACTACAAGTCTCATTCAGTTTGGAGCTCACTGGACAGATCGAGTTCTCGGATTTCCATGCATAGACTCTTCGCCTTGGGCAGCATTTTTCAGTGTATATGAATATTGTTAGTACGGTAGACTTGACGGAGTCCCTCGCATTCAGTACTATGTGGTAATTCTTCCGTACACTGACATGTACAACAGATTTCTTCGGAAATCAGCTATTGAATTCAATGACCATCCAGCTGTCAAATAAAACCTCAAATACCTCAGAACAGGGATCCCTTTTTAGGGAGGGCAGACCGTAGTTTCGTTTTGTTTGTTTGTAAACAGGATTCGGCTGTATTGTACAAACACTATATTCGGTTATCCTTCTGCGCTTATTCTGTTTATCGTATCTGCTTATGCCCCAACGAAGTGTAGCTCTGATTCTGCCAAAAACCGTTTGTAACCGGCCCCGGACTCAAATAGACCACATTGACCACCAGTTGCTGATGTTTACGCTTGAGCATTGCTCGCCTATGCAGACTTCAACCATGTGCTTATTTGTTGCCTCTTTTAATGGAGCTTTTGGCTTTACTGAAAAGACGCACTCGCTTAATTACTGAAAAATTAATAGACCCGAAAATCAGACCAATGCGGTGTAAATCACAATGTTGCCACGCTAGCCATCTAACCCGAAATTTGCAAATACTACGGATACATGCATCAAGCACATGTTGCATGTCTCAGCCGTTTGCTCGGAGGATGCATACTATTCTGTGTTGTTAAATGCATGCAACCTTGAAAGGCAAGTATACCGAAATTGACAGAGAATCCGTACGTATGACCTTCGGGTGTAAACATGCCGCTCATATTTTATGACCTACAGCATCGACCAACGGTAGGTTTACTTACTAACGATTGTTTTAGGTGAAGCGTAGCTGACGCTGGAACGTCCGTTTTGGACCTATAGATCTTAATTCTTAATGTTTTGTGAATCGTAATTCAAAATTACATGTTGGTTGGAGCCGCACGGTCAGAGTAAGCTCTCGTTAAAAGATTCTCGCAAGGTGGACGACCAGAAATAGGTTCAGATCTCGCTCGAAGAAGAACCTGCCCATGTGTTAGCTGTATGTTTTGACCAATATCGTACACTGGTATGGTAGTCGGCAAACAAGGCGTAGCCTCATGGACCACTTGTTTTATTAACTGCTTGGAGGACATCAAGAAGCTCCGCTGTCACTGCCTCTTTGAAATTACTTTTTACCGGTAAACTTCAGAGCCGAATATAGAACTGCACATAACTTGCCATTGAACATCCTTTCTTCCAACAAGTGTCAAAAATCAGGTATATCCGCAGATCAACAAACGCAGGTGCCCACTGAACATGTGATTGAGGGCTATCACCAACTAGGCATTTATGTCTGGACTGAACGTCCAATTCACACCAGTTAGTGCCCAAACAGATAGGTTCTTTGATTTCGATAATTGACAGCTTAACGAACCCCGTTACAAAGACCTACATCTGGCTAACCGATGTTAGATGAATGTCTACCTGCCTCCAAAAGCATTACAGGCGGCGGCGGCAAGGAAAGCACTTCGTAAACTTAAGCAAGGTGGCGGCGCCCCTCTCTTTAAAACACTAATGACTTACAGTGGGCGAGAGGTACACCTTCGGTCAGCTAGTCGGTGTCCCGCCT